CAAACTGGTCATAGAATACTACACATCTACTGTATTTAACTTATCACTAGCTGACACATAAAAGCAAGAATTGCTTAATATTCAGATTTTTTTAGCCATCTCTAATTTTTAGCTTAATATTAGAAGACCGTAAATATATGCAGATTTTGAATTTTTATAAATTCATGAATTAGAAATCAAGCATCTATTACCACAAGACAAAATAAAAGGAAAAAAAATCTAAGTTCTTATATCTTTAGATAGATTAATAATTACTTCAAGTTCATAAATAACATAAAAAAAAAAATGCAAAAAATGTGTTTTCCAGAGTGGACTGTACATTAAAAATGCAGTCCGCCATATGAATTTACTAAAATACCTTGAATGAAACTTTATTTTATTTTATTTTATTAAATGTGTTTTAGTAAATTTAGAAAGTAAACTGAGTTTTTAATATACAGTCTGAACTATATATTACATAAATCCACAAAAAAATATTACCTCTATAAATTTTTCTTAAAAAAATAGTTCGGTTTTCTTAATCAGCCAATGTAGAAAATAAACATATATTGAAATTGTATTATATATAGAATATAATTATGAATATGTTCGGTCAAGAGAGAAGCTAGACTTTAATGCAAGTGCATTCGATACATGAGCGTACTTCTTTAAATTACCTTGCTTATCCAAAAAAGAGATTATTTAGTTTAAATTTCAAGTTGCTGAGCTCCGTTTGAGCCAACTATGATGAGTTAATCATCACTATGATTTTTTAAATATTTTACACAAACTATGCACATGATTACCTCAATTTGCAGATGTTAATAAACCAAGATAAAAGCTTTACTTGAAACCAACTGCATATCTACAGACACATGCTTCTATGAATATACTTACAGCTCTTACCTTGTTGACTGAGAAAATAGGACAGTTGATCCCAATTCCAATTTGGTCATCTCCATTAGCTCTTTGGAAGCCCGAAAATTCTGAAGCAAATATCTGCACTTGGTCACATCCATACACCTCCAATTTTTTCAATGATGGCCATTCAGTGTCTACCATTTGACAATAGAAACCCTTCAGTTTGGGTAGCCCATAAAGCTGAAGGTGTGTCAATCTTGGCAAGACTAACTTAATGGGAGTTTCTACCAAAGTTGGCTCAGTGGTTATTTGAGATTGTGATTGGATAGCAACAAGCCCTTGTGAATCGACTATCTCTTCTAGCGCATTGCAATTCCATATCTGCAGCGCGTATAATTTCTGAAGCCTTTCCAACATGGTTAACGGGAAAATGTTCAATAGCTTTCCACATGAATTTACACCAAGCAGATTTAGTTGGCAAAAAGAATCTGCATCAAGTTGGTCTTGCCATATCTTGTTCAAGCTCTCCATACACTGAATCTCTACTCGCTCTACACTAGGGAATGCCACCTGAAGAATTTACCCAATTGCATTAACAAGAAAACATAATCAGAGGGATAATTTAATAAACGATTTCTGGAATCTAGATTTTAAAAAATGTAAAAGATTATGCGATGAAACTACAACATATAGAAGCAAAAACAAGGGAAATGACGTGCAGAGACATTTGGGACAGTTTAATATAATTTTGCCAATCAATCAATTTTCTTAAATTGAGTAAT